AAATTTTAAATTTTCATTCCATCTTAAAAAATGTTATTCCAATTTTAAAATTTTCCGTCTTACTTAAAAACTTTCCTTCCAACAATGGGGCATCCCTTCTTATTTGAACTGCATGCTAAAGATGGAATGAAAGTTTGGACGAGTTCATGAAATATTTTAATTGGACTGTCATTCTAAGTAAGGATTTTCAGTCATAAATAGGTTAGTCCAATCTAAATTAGAAGACATTTCTTGTAGTAGAATGAAAATTTAATTAAAACATTTCATAAACTCGTCCAGACTTTCATTCCATCTTGAACAAATAGATGTAGTTGGAAGGGAAAGCTCATATTTAGATGGGATCTTATCAAATAAAACTGAAAATTTTAAAATTTGACGAACATTGGAATGATAATTTATAAATATGAAGGATTTTTTTTTTATGGAATGTTTTTTCAACTTTTATTTCTCGTGGGAATTTTTTTGTTGACATGCTGCGGCCGGCCTGTACCAGTCTGAAGCAGGCCAAGCCAAGTCCAGCTCTATATTTGGCTGCTACAGTGCAGCGGCTCATCACTTGTTCAATTGCAAGATGCGGAGACGCTGCTGTGCGTTAAACCACTAGTTCCCCCGCCGCGAAAAATCTTGGGGGACCAGTAGCATATTTTCATGCGGCTACCGGTAACCACAGTATGGAGAACCGACACAATGGCAAAAATGAAAAATGCGTGGAATTGCCGAAGCCATTTTTTTCGCGGTTGAAACAAATTTTTAATTTTTTTTTTTTTTTTTCTGTGAAATGAGCCAAGTACTCATCAAGTTCAACCTTGCATACATCAATGAACATTCACATGAGACTCATGATGAGAGTTCACACGTGAGAAGCCAAATCCAGATACAATCAACAGTTGAAGATGTAGTCTCCAATATTATTGTTAATATACAAGAATGTTTGTCTCCAGCGGCTCTACCTCACACACACACACACACAACGGATCTCAATCAGGTGGCGGCTATGGCTTCTCTCTCTTCTCTCTCTTCTCTCTCTCTCTCTCTCTCTCTCTTTCTCTCTTCGTCTTGTTTCTCCTGACTTGGCTCGATCTGCCTCTCTCTCTCTCTCTCTCTCTCTCTCTCTCTCTCTCTCTCTCTCTCTCTCTCTCTCTAACCTAGTTCGTCACCCTGGATACACCCACTTAGGCAAGCTTACAACCTGGCGGCTATGGCCGTCGTCCTCCTGCTCTACCCCTAGCCTAGCTATGGAGTCACTCGCGAGCGCCCTCTTCTCCTTTGGGCGTGTCGTGCCCAAGTTATCTTAACGCACGCTTCCGCATCTCGCAACAGACCAAGTGCTGAGCCACTGCACTGTAGCAGCTAAATATAGGACTTGGCTTGGCTTGGATTGGCTTGGCCGGCTTTAGAACGGTACCAGTCGGCCGCGACCTGTCTGCTGCAAATATTTTGTCCGTCCGGTAACTTCCGGACTTTCCTGGGACATGCTCCAAAATTGGACTTGGGATTGTCGGACTGAACTGGAGTGGACTTCTTCTGGACTTTTCTTGTCGGGTACCGGACGGACTCCTAGCGACCTATGACGCTTCGGTACCGACACCTACCGACGTACGACGTTTTGGACTCTAGACCCTACGGTCTAACCTACTGGGACAGCCTGGGACTGGGACAGTTCGGGACTCTGGGATCAGGACTGGGATGTCTGCAGCGTGAATCCTTTCACCTGGAAAGATCACGACTTAATTTACAAGCCCTCCAATTTTCAGGATTCTTAATGCATTTGCGAGGAATGAGCCCTCGCGGGCCCTTATCAGACATGCACATGTTCTGGGCAGAGCCCCCCCAGCAAGCCAAGTGCCCGCCCTAAGTGAAGGCGGGCCTGAATATTCACTAGAGCCCAAAATTCGACATTTTTCATATGTGGGTATCCAGGCTGTTACAGCCCGCCAGTTGGTTGAGCGGAGCGTGAGCCTCCCTAAGCTGCGTCATACAGTTTGGCCCAGGCCGTGGCAGTTGCACCTGGGCACATAAACACAATGGAGGGCCGATACATCACGAAGTGGCTACATGCCTACGCAAAAGCAGCACTGTCGACGTACATACCCCGGGGCCTGTGCAGATGCAGGAAACGGCCCAAGTCTGGAGACTCAGGCCGTGTCCAACTGTAAAGGGGCCCAGGCCCTCAACTGTAGCACTGGGCCTGGGCGCAGGTACTGGGGCCCAAATGGAAGCTACTCGAAGCTTCCAGCCAGGCCACACACAGCCAAGCAGATGTTATGAACTTGGTTGCCTGACGATTTTTACCGCCACTCACACATAGACAGTCTCATACACGCCCATACATGCATAAGAGAAAGGGGAGAGGAGGCAGAGTCCAAACTGCACACAGATAAAAATAGACAGCGGAAGACAACCATGCACAGATGGGGAGAAGACACACAGTGTTTCTCACTCTCTGACAAACTCCCAACAACCAATCACAAAAGAACCTGCGAGGATAACAATCGAAATTCACACTGATGATGAGCCACTCAAACCAAATATCGTAACAGAGTTTGGTCCAGCATCTCGCCACTCTCAGAACCTCACTCTCCACTCACTATCCTACACCCAGTTAGTAGCGCCACATCAAAACAGCCTCCCAGAGGCCAGCGCCAACCACCCAGATGAAGAACAGATCCGGCGATGCAGTCCTCAGTGTCGATGGCCAACTCTGACGAAGAACCAGGCAGCTATGGCTGCCACCACCCACGAGTGTACAGTGTAGAGCCTCGATATAGCCCGGCCACACGCAGATACCACCAGGGTTAGATGCGTTGAGGGTGCCCCAGCTCTGGCACACTTCAGGAGAACCGGCTATGGCCGCTGTCCACGGCGAGGGTCTCAGGATGCCGCCTGTAGACAATCACCGCCACCAACTTGCTTGGCTTCTCCAATGCTGCTTCGTGAGAATGAACCGCCAAAAGTCTTGGACCGATGTGCCTATCCTATCTATAGACTACAACTACCCTAGACTCGACCTAGACCGGACTGACTGATTGACCGGTACAGTTTCTGTTTCGGCCTCTCGACCTCTACCGGACCCGACTATAGGCTATGGGACCGTCTATCAGTATAGGCCCTTAGGGCCTGTCTGTCCTAGGGGTAACCCGGGCCTGCTATTCGCAGTTACGGTAGTAGTAGGAAATTCGGTTAGTGTTAGGGCTGTATTTTCCCAAATTTGCCGATATGTCCTAATTTCCTCACAGGTAGGTCCCTCGGTTAGCCCTCAGCCAAACAAAATTGCGAATCTACCCTACCGCTGTACTACACAGCCTCGTGATCAGTCTCGACAGTCAAAATCAGCAAGTCATTGCCGCCTTAACCCCCAGGGAGCGAGGACCTCCGACCTAGGGATGCAGGCGAGGTGATCGGCGTGGAAGGATACCCTTCTGAGCCGCTTCATATCGCAATACAACTAACTTTGCTGTCTTGAGAAGTTCCCTCATGTAGAACCTTCTGTTCTCAGTAGGGGGCTGGAAAGAAAACTTCACAAGATACTGTCGATCGGGGCCTCTGCCCCACTCATCCTCAATGGACTTCACGTCATATCCCTTGCCAGGGATCGGTGGACCAAACTGAGGGGGCCGGTCTGGGAATGCATCAGCTGGGGTGAAAGGTAGCAGCTTGGATGCATGGAAAACCGGGTAGGTGCGTAGATGCAGCGGGATGTCGATAACATACGACGAACCGAAGGGATCCGCGCCCACTGTATCTGGGACCTGCCATGGACCCAGGTAACGAGGCAACAACTTGGGAGAGATATCCTCCTCCCTTGACAACTCAGAACTGGCTACCCAGACATAATCACCAGTGCGGATGGGGGAAGGCCGCCTGTGGCGATTGGCTTGTTCAATCATAGCCTTTTGGGCTTTGAACAAGTTCGCCCGTGCTCTTCCCACATCTATACGATACCGTCTGGTGAACTCTGATGTGCCTGGTGTCAGATCTGGCTTAGCCTTATGGATGATATCATCGAGAGGCTGACGGGGCTCACGTCCCCAGTGCAACTGGTAGGGACTGAACCCTGTCGAGGAATGGACAGACATGTTATACATGAGTTGTGCCCTAGCCAAGTGAAGATCCCAGTCCTGCTGATCTGGAGAGATGACAGGACGCAGCAATTGGAATAAGACTTGGTTCATCACTTCAACCTTATCATTGGCTTCAGGATAATGACCAGAAGTCATGTCCAATTGTGAGTGCCGGTAGTCCTTACAATAGGACTGCCACTCATCGCTGCAAAATCTGGGGTCTCTATCACTGACGATCGAAGTGGGCCGTCCATGGTGAGTGGCCCACCTCTCTGAAAAGGCTGCTCTCATAGCCGGGACCCTAGCTACCTCTAGCAAGGGGATGAACTCTGCGTATTTGGAGAACCTGTCCACGCACACCATAACCTGACGCATGCCACGAGGGGTGGTCTTGCCTAAATCTGTGAAGTTAATCGCCACAGATTCAGCAGGGCCATCAAGTATGGGTGAGGGTTTGAGCAATCCCAAAGGAGGCCTACGCTGGATCTTATTCCTTTGGCAGAGCTCTCGCAGGTTTCCACATAACGCAGCATATCACTCCGCATCTCCTTCCAGAAGAAGTGTTGCGACAGGGCTGCATATGACTTCAGGAACCCAAAATGTCCACGGGCATCATGACACTCTGACATCAGCAGTGCCCTGAGCCGCTGGTCCTGGGGAATGCACAAGCGCTCCTCACCTCTACTGTACGTATACAGCAGGTCTGAACTCGGAGCATAGCCTGGTTCAGAATTAGGATCTGCTTGCAGATTCCTGACTATGGGTCCGAAAGTCTGGTCTTGAGGCAGTAGACGAGCAATGGTCTGACGGGTCTCCTCTCCAAAGGAGTGAGTAGAGGAGATCAGCGCAAAAGAGTCAGGCCTACGAGAGAGGGCATCTGCTACCTTATTGTAGCAGCCCTTCTTGTCTTTCAGTTCAAAGTCAAACATGTTGATGAACTGAATGTATCGTGCCAGGACTTCATCCACTGTAAGGTGGAATGATCTGAGAAGATCTTGAAGTGTCTTCCCAGGAGAAAGTACGTCCGGGCACAGACAAGCGCATATAGCTCTTTCTCGTAGGTGGAGTCCTTGAGCTTTTGAGTCTTGATCCTCTTACTCATAAACTCTACAGGCCGTACACCATTCCCATCATCCTGCTGAAGAACTGCCCCAATGCCATACTGACTGGCGTTCGTGGTCAGGATGAATGGCAGAGTGGGATCAGGTAACTTCAACACAGGTGCACGAGTCAGGGCCTTCTTGAGTCGTGTAAAGGCCAACTGGTAGGGAAGGGACCAAAGAAAAGGAGTGTCTTTCTTTGTTAGGTTGGTCAGGGGTGCAGCCACTGCAGAAAAGTTCCTGACAAACTTTCTGTAGTATGAGGCCAAACCCATGAAGAACCTGACATTCCTCACTGTCTGTGGCTGAGGCCACTCCTGAATAGCAGCTATCTTGGCTGCTTCAGAAGCCAAGCCATCTCTAGAGATCACGTGACCCAGATAGATGACAGAGGGAACTCCAAAAGAGGATTTCTCTCTGTTGATCTTGTACTGGCTGTCACGTAATGACTGAAGGACCAAAGCCAGGTGCTCCGCATGTTCCCTGGCAGTCCAGGTGAATACCAGGATGTCATCCAGGTAGACAACCATGAACTTGTCCCGGTAAGGCCTGAAGATGCGGTGCATCTCTATCTGGAAGGTGCCTGGGACATTGCAAAGTCCAAACGACATGACCAGGAACTCGTAAGAGCCATACCTGGTTTTGAAGGTTGTCTTGTGGACATCCTCCTCTGCCATCTCAATCTGGTGGTACCGAGACTTGAGGTCGACTTTGCTGAACACAGTGCAGCCCTGTACCATGTCCAGGAGGTCATCGATCCTAGGAAGTGGCTCTGTACTCTTCCTAGTGATCTTGTTGAGACCCCTGTAGTCAATACACATTCTGAACTCGCCGTTCCCTTTAGGTACAAAGAGAACAGGTGCACCGAATTCAGAAGTGTTGGGCCTAATCCAGCCCTTGCTGGTCAGGCTCTCAAGCTGTTTTCTGAGCTCCTCAAGCTCAGCAAGGGACATCTTGTAGATGCGGCCCTTAGGAGGGACTGCTCCAGGCAGCAGCTCAATGTGATGCTTGGTTGGCCGGTTGGGTAACCCAAAGGGCTCCTGCATCAGATCGGCATACTTGTCCACCACCTGCTGTATCTCAGGAGGACAGGAAACTGGAGGAGCATCTGTTTGCTTGACCAAAGCAACAAACAGACGCTCGTGGTGGTACTGGCGTGAGAGAGCATGAAACTCCCTCGCTCTCAGGCAGTAGCAACTCAATTTAGGGTGGTGTTCAACAGCAATCATGCATGGCTGATACACCCCCTGTCTGTTAGGCAGTTCAACTTTTGGGATCTGCCAATCGATCCTTGGGTTGACTGCTTTCAACCACTGCATAGAAAACACCAAGTCAAAGGGTAAATCAGGGAATATGTAGAAGTTCAGACTGTGTCTGACTGCCGTCCCAGACCACGGGGTCACTGAGACCCAATTGGTCCAGTTATTCTATCGTGCCATGCCTGAGCCCCTGAGGGGGCACGTCTTTGATAAGACCGAGCAGGTCACCTATGATGCGTTGAGTAGGGAAGTGGTCCTGTTCGAGTCAAAGTCCATGCCGGTTACCACCTTCTGGCACAAGGACTTAGAGAAGGGAAAAAGGTGGAAAGGGCGTACCATCTCTGGCCAAGTCAAGGCCAAGGATCATATGATCCTGACATTAGAGGAAGGTGGTACAGACAAGGTTCCATATATTCAGATCGAGTGGGGCCTCGAGGAGGAAGACAGTAGTGTAGGACAAGGGAGGTCTTATGCTGTTGTCGCGGCTGGAGGGAGGCCGCAAGGTAGAGGGGGAGGCCGAGGACCAGGCGCACAGGGGGTTGGCGGCCAAGGAAACCGCCAAGCGGGAGGTAGGGGTCAAGGTCCCCCGCCAAATCGTCAGGGTAATCGGTCCCCGCAGCGAAGAGGTGGAAGGGCACCTCAAGAAGGATGGCACCCAGGCTTGCCACAGGGCAGGCCCTGGGAAGATTTGACCTTCTCCCTGATGGTGAGCACTGTGGAATCACCTATCCTCACCAGCAGCGGTTGCTGCGGCTGCTGAACTTTCATGCCCAGATGCAGCTTCTTAACTGCACTGAAGACATGAAGTTCCTGGTGGCTCCACAGTCCAACAGCCCTGTGATCCTGGTGCGATTGATCAGGGGCCGAAGTAAGATGAAATCAGACTTGCTCTTCTTCTGTTCCTTCAGATGAAGGAAGAAGGCAGCAAGTGCCTGAAGCTCATCCTGCTCCGGGTCCTGATCCGGGCCAGGATCCTCATAGCAAAAGGATGCTGCCCACGCAGTCCCCAAATAAACACAATCAGTCTCAACTGAAACAAGTGCAGATTCATCTACCTGAGCAGATGAAGGTGCAACACTGGGGGAAACTGCAGTCCCCAGGGTTTGTTTCAGTTTTTTGACTGCCCTGGGCCTGGCATGTAAGGGCAGTCCTTTAGAAAGTGTTGTCCCTCACACCTCAGGCAGACCCCTCTCTCCTTTCTTCTTCTCCAAACTCCCTCCTGGATCTCGAGGTCATGCCAGGGGAGAGTGGAGGGATTGAGAGGGTCAGCTGGCATTCGGACATCTTTGGGCAGGTTAGGGCGCTGGGAAGAGGAAGGCCGACGTCCCTTTTCCTTCCCCTTTGCGCTGGCTGAGGCTGTGGTGGGGGAGAACGTCTTCTGCTGCTGCAGAACTCCCAAAACAGCATGAGTCAGGGCCGCTGCAACATTTGTATCAGCAGCGGATCCAGTCCCAGCTGATGGTGTATCAACCTGGGAGTCTGAGTCAGAGGCTGATGCAGACCCTGCATGGGCAAAGGCTGCCTTTCCCTTTCTACCACCATGAGGGAAGGCACCTTTCCTCCTGCCAGAGGAGGGGGCCTGGACATGAAGTTTGGCCTCCATGTCCAGGGCTGCACGGCCAAAGGACCTCCAGTCCTTGTGCCCAGCGTTGTACAATGCAACATATATGTTCTCAGGGGCTGCCCTGCAGAAGTTAGTTAGTAGGTCATCTGCAGACATGACCAACCCTGGTGTGGAAGTTAGCTGCTCAAACTCTGCAAACAAGGACTGTAGGGAGCCGCTGTATCGCTGCTGGCTCAGGCGAGCAATCGTGGCATTCGTCCCTTGACGTACAAGATCCAAGCCATCGTGGATTGGCCGGAACCCCGTTGCACGATGGACGTACGCTCTTTCATGGTTTGGCTGGATACTATCAGCCGGAACCCCGTTGCACGACGGACGTACGCTCTTTCATGGTTTGGCTGGATACTATCAGCGTTTCATCGAGTCTTACTCCAAAGTGACAGCCCCTTTGTCGAGACTTCAGTCCCCGAAGGTACCATTTGAGTTCGACAACGCAGCTCGTGGCGCGTTCAATACGTTCAATACGTTGAAGGCGGGAATGCAAGACGCACCAGCCCTCCATATTTATGACCCCACCCTACCCACCCAAGTGACTACGGACACTTTCGGGTACGGTATTGGTGCGGTATTAGAACAATGCCACCCGGACAGTTGGCACCCGGTTGAGTATTTCTCCCAAAAGGTGCCTCTCGTCAACACCCTCGATGATGTTAGGAAGAAAGAGCTACTCGCGTTCGTCATCGTTCTCAAACGGTGGCGCCACTTTCTTCTCGGTCATTGGCGTTTTAAATGGAACACGGATAACAATCCGTTGACCTACTAAAAAACGCAAGACACGGTCACCAGCACAATCGGTCGATGGATGTATTACATCGACCAGTTCGACTTTGACCCATGCCACATTCCAGGTCCCGCCAACCGAGCAGCGGACGCCCTCTCACGACGGCCGGATTTTTGTGCCCTCGTGACTACGACGTTCCAGCTCGATTACGATCTGCAGCAGCACTTCGTCAACGGCTACAAGTCTGACCCGACATACTCCACGCTCTACGCGGAGCTTTCGTCGGATCACCCGCCGGCTGGTCACTATCGTATCTCCGACGAGTTCCTACTCCTCCACACGAGAGGAAAGGACTTGCTAGTGGTGCATCAAGATCGCATCTTACGGACTCGCCTCCTCGACAAATTCCACGACGCACGACTTTCGGCACACCTTGGCGTGACCCGCACATTGGCCCGCCTCAGCCAGCGTTTTCACTGGCCCCACGTTCTTCATGACGTCACGAGGTACATTGAGTCATGCGCAGTTTGCCATCGTAACAAAGGTAAATCTCAGGTCCCTTATGGCGAACTGAAACCGATGTCAATCCCTCGGGCACCGCGCCTCTCCATTGCCATGTTACAGGCCCGTTTCCCCGCGATCGCCTCGGTCATGACGGCATCCTCACGGTCGTTGACCGTTTGAGCAAGTACGCTCGTTTTCTTCCATGCAAGTACCATGTTACAGCCCCCGAGCTCGCACGACTCTTGCACACCGGTTGGATTACCTGCCACGGTGTACCGGAAGACATTGTGTGCGACAAAGACACTCGCTTCATGTCAGCCTTTTGGACTTCCCTCATGACGGAGTCCGGTTCGACTATGAAGCCGAGTTCTGCGCGGCACCCGCAGATGGACGGACAATCGGAACGAACGCATCAGACCCCGCTGCTCCAGGTTGGTGACTGTTCACTCATGAAAAAGCAGATGATAGTCTCTCACCGTCTCCGCCTCCTGCAGACAATAATTTCTCCTCACCTCCGCCTCCTGTCGCTGCTCAAGGCCTAGGCCTTCCTCCGTCCACCTTACCTCAGCCACCCAACCCCCCCGTTCCCCCCCCCTAGCAAGTCCTCGCAAATCGGCTTTAATCATGGTTTTTAGAAGTGCAAGCCTCTGTCCAATATCTACTGTTCACACTGGCTCAGAACCAACTTACGGCATGGAGGAGTGCGGCATTAGGGAAGAAGTGATTTCGAAGCAATGCTGAGTTAGCTCAAATGATGTTACGTACACTCATCCGTCCCGACCAGAAAGATTGGTTTGATTGGCTTCCCGACATCGAGTTTGCCTATAACACTTTGGTGCACCCAGAATCTGCATCACTCCATTCGAGTTGCATCACGGTGGAGAGAAAGCTTGCTCTCCCGCTTCCATTCGGAAGTACCGGGACCTGCTGATCAAAGCCCGAGCGAACATGCAAAAGGTTCAAATCCGCATGCAGCAGCAAGCCAACCGACGTCGACTCCCATGTCCTTTCCGCGAGGGAGACCTTGTTTGGGTCCTCGCTGAGAAAGACGTCTCGCGCAAACTCCTCCCGAAATGGTTTGGACCATGGAAGGTAATTTCTGCAGCAGGCGACGACCCCGCTGGCCCTTCCTTTGTGATTGCCATCCCACCGCACCTCCGCGTGCACCCGGTTTTTCATGCGTCAAAGCTGGCCGTGTATACGCCACCTTCCAAGGATGAGTTTTCGGGCCGACGATCACAGGATCCGCCCTCTATGGACGGACATCAGGAAGTTGACTGTGTCATCACACATCACAAGTGTGGCAACAAGCCAATGCAATACCAAGTCACATTCAAGCAATGTGCCCCTGATGGCACGCGCTGGATCTCCCGCGCAGACTTACAGGCATCTGCACCACTCATCTTCTCCGACTACGAGAATCAGCGACTCGCCAAGGACAAAGCTCGTCCCACCCSACCCACCCMGGTATCGGACAGACAACTTCGCCCTCGCAGGTAGCTCGGTCTTTTAAGGGGGGGAGTGTGTTACATACTGATGTCAGACGGGTCCCTTTCGGATCCGACCACTAGGCTAAGGGGTACTTAGGCCGGCCCAGCCAAAGGCCGAACCCTTCTCCTGGTAGGCCGCATTGAGGCCACCGGTTGATTTCCTGCAGCAGACCAGGTCTAGGCCCAAACGACATTACCATTGGGCCTGGCGGCGCTCTTGAGGCTTCCACTCGCGGGTTTGATCTGAATCGTCAATCTTGACGATCCAGATCACGGCGCGCTGGGCAGCATTGAGGCCGACCGGCCGCCGGACGGTACTTAGGCCGGTCCAGCGACCTTACCTGCATCTGAGAGCAGCGGCATTGAGGAGCGACCGCGCTGAGCTATTCTGGGTTCAGCGCAGCGATGGGAACTGCAGCGCTAAGTTTAGCGCACTGCAGTAAGGAACAGCAAGGAGGGAGACTTACCTGACAGCAGCCACGAGCGCCATAGCTCCTAGCAGCACAGCCGTCTCCCGCAGCAGCCAACGGGCCATCTTGTCCCATCGGGTAGGGCCTGGCGCTAGTCGCCATCTCCGCCCGTGCTCTGCCCCTCTCTTCTTCTTCCTCAGACTTCTTCTTCTTCTTCTTCTTCTTCTTCTTCTTCTTCCTCCTCTTCTTCAGACTGGAGAGAGATCAGTGATTGGACTTCGGTGGTAGGAGGCTGTGATACTTACCGGATGCAAGACATTGGAGATAGTTGGGATTGATACCAGGCGGTATCACAGATCGGACACCGGTTACATTAGGATTCTGTACCTCCGACATTGGTGACTTATGTCCACGACATTCTGATTTTGTTCGGTGATGTTTTGGACTACCATATCGGTGACCTTCTGGATTCTATCTCGGTGACATCTGACGCGGCCTGTACCTCCCACCTCCATCATCTCTCCTCCCACCATTCATCTGTGTATGATTGTACGGGGCCTGAAGCATCTTCTATGTATGGTCTTCAGACCCCTTCCATCTCACGATTGCTTGTGTGTTTAGTGATGTTTGGGTGAGTTCCGTCTATGTGAGTCAGTCCATTTATCAGACTTCCGCTGTATACATGCTCATCCTATATTGGTTGATCTTGGTTCTGCCCATACTTGGTGAAGTATTCACTAGTATGCAACAATGCCTGCGATGCAGCCAAGCACATTTGCACATGACCTCCCTCCTCAGGACTGAAAAAAACGGATGCCCACAGGGGAGGGTGGAGACTCGAGTGATAGGAGCCAGACAGGCCCAGCAGCGCAAAAGACAGAAGAGCTACTGTCTTTCCCGAAATAGAACGTACGGTCATAATAGCTGTATTTGGGGCAACTTTCATTATAGATACTGCAATGACGACCATACATTCTTTTCTTTTCTTTTTTCTTTTTTTTCTTTCTTTTTTTTTTAAAAACAGGTCTGAAACGGTTTTCACCTTTGCAGAGGCAGATGCAGATTCCAGGGTTCGATCCCCAGACCCTACCTTACCCAGGTACAGTATCGAGTTGACCCCCTAGTGTTTGAACCCGTGACCTGTGTTTCGTTAGGTGCTGTTTGTCTGTCACAGGACTGTGTAGATGCAGGGATTCGATCTGTAGGTCTATCGAGTAGGGGTCACAGCTTTGTAGAGGTCGTAGCTATAGGCATTCTGAAAGGTCAAGGTCGTAGCTGCTACAGTCCTGAAAGGTCAAGGTCGTAGCTGCTACAGTACCCGAAAGGCCAAGCCCACAGACTTCCGGAAGTTCCGGAAGCAGCTTTTCGAAGTTTGTCTCACGTTTAGACAGAGGCAAGTGGGCAAGTGGTGAGCCCAACTGCATTACGTCGGCAGTGCGACTGCGTCGAGTTGGCAATGCAAACCTATGCAGTCAGCGGTACCGGTCCAGTCAGTCCCAGTCCAGTCCAGCAAGTACCAAGAGGGACTGTGTGCACCATGGGCCGATGGAAAGGGGCAGACCAACGAGTTCCTGAAGTATAAATCAAGAGGCAGCGCTCAGCCATACATTCATTCGCTGCGTAAGCCATGCGGAAGCGCTGCTACAGCGTCTTGTGCGAAGGTGGTCTGCAGGTTGCCCGAAGACGAAGTGAGCTGAAGGGAGATCGTAGCCATAGTCAGTAGTGGTAGTGCGGCCATAGCCGCTGTAGGAGGAAGTTAGACATATTGTATGTGTGTGGTGGTATTCAGGGTGATCCAGAGTGAGCGTGTGTGAACAGTGGGGTGGGACAGTGACGAAGGTTGGGATGTTCAGGCGCTGATGCGCCATAGCCTGTTGAAGAGAACTTGCATCTGAACTGTGTTCTTGATTTCCATATCTCTAAGCTTTGAGTGGGCACCCTGCGCCAGTGTGAGTCTCCATCTGTTTGCATGTGTGTGAAGTGGAAAGAAAGCGAGTCTGATTGCAGGTCCTTATGGCCCTGGCTCCATTTCCATTCTGGGGAGCATCAGTCCGGTTCCTATTCCACCGGCAAGTCAGGAAAATATTACATCATAGAACACCCACACGCTTCCTTCTGCCTGGCCGAAGGAACCCTGATCAGCATTGATGACCATACGTTCTATTCGGGTGAAAATGGTAAGTTGGGCATGATTCGTTCAATCTTCTGGTATTTCAAAACACGGCAGGCACCAAAATATTATTGGGCATACTGTCAGGAAACACTCAGTCAAATGCAGTGTAGGCCCCCTCCAACTTACAGGATCTGCAACAGCATAGAGAATCGCGATGATACAGGGAAGGCAGCAGCAAACTGCAATTCCAATGACACAGGCAAGCGCAATGCAGAAGACGACAAAAAAAACATCGAAGGCTAGAAACACCACGACAAGCCTGCACATATACAATTGAGTGCACGTGCATGAACACACAGAGTACAAGAACGCATACACAGGCCACAGAGATTGATACATGTCAGCTGTGACCTGAGGTCAAATCGACATGGCTGATCTTTAGTTAAAAACATCTAAAACCGGTTTGCAGCTTCACCAAGAGAAACAAAAAGTAAAACCACACTGCCAAACATTTCACATTCCAGGAGAACCACCTGCTTTGCCAAATTTCACTTTTGTTTTCTAGTATTAGTATTGTATTGCTGATTTATTTGAATTATTTATCAATTCTAGGCTACCTGAAACATTCAACTAGGCAACCAGGCAAACATTTCATATTCCAGGTGAGCCACCTGCTTTGCCAAATTTCACCTTTGTTTTCTAGAATTACTGATTTATTTCACAATTCTAGGCTACCTGAAACATTCAGCTAGGCAACCAGTCCAGAGCCATTCAGAACCCACGCAACCTGGAAATCCAGGTGTACCAAACTCTCGATCATTCTATCCCTTCCCCCGCCTGCACCCCCCCCGCCCCCCMCCCCCCCCMCTCCCCCTACTCTATAAGAGTATGCCCAGGGGGGCGATCTGCACTTTAACAGAGCTGCAGAATGCACATTCTTAAATGATTCTTTACAAATACAGCCTCATGAGCCTTACAATTTTAGAGTCGGGGAGGGTTCGTTGGTTGGAAAGGCAAACCGGAATCTCAAGCATTGAGTGGATAGAAGACCTTAGATGTGTAGAATACCGACACGGACAGCCTGGTTAACTACTGGCAGAACAACTCCAAACCACCAGTCCTGTTCCCAGCAACTTTTGCTCTGACGCTCTACTAACTCGCCACAAAATAGTGGATCAGGCCTACTGGACAGAATGCCTGGTTAACTACTGGCAGAACAATTCCAAACCACCAGTCCTGTTCCAAGCAATTTCGCTCTGATGCTCCGCTTAACCCGCTGCGAAATAGCCGGTTGGGCTTACTGGAGGGAAAGGGCCGGTGCTGCAAGGAATATCAGGCACCCTGTGGGTTTGGCAGCAGTTGGCAAGCGGCAACAATCCACATTTGGAGAAAGAGACCTGGAGGGACCGGTGGTTCAAACTTCAAAGTCTGACCATTTACTGCCTCGAGCACTTCAACACTGACAATGGTATGGTAATTTCTGGAAAACCATGATAAGGTGGGGAAATGAAAGGATTTCACACTGCAACGCCCCGCGTCTCGGTCCCAAAGTCCCAGATGGTCCCGGTTCCACAAAATCCCATAGGCCGAGTCTCAGGCTAGGGTCTGTGGGTCCGGTAGACCACTTAGTCGGAGCGTCATAGGTCAAGGTCAAGCCAAGGTCGGGCCGGTGTCGGGCTACCAAACTCAGTCGGCCTCCCAATATGGGAGATTTATGAGTCTGCACCTATCGGCTATGTCCGTTTCTGACTCTACCTTTATCTGACGGGAGGCGGAAAGACGGGGTGTCCGGGTCGACCCCTGTTTTCCGCTCCCACGTCTGCCTATATTAGACCTACTATTATGCTGAATAATATGATAATTTATTTGATTTTCGGAGCCTCCTCTGCAGGGCAATTTCGACCGCACTTTCACTGCCACTGCCGTTTGGTCTCGAACGAGTGCACAGTGCGAGGATCAGGGTCCTCGGTAGGCCTATGGGGCCCTGTCTGCAGCCTTGCCCGCCCTAAGTGAAAGCGGGCCTGGCTTTTTGCAAAAGGCCTTCGACTGTCAATTTCATATTTGGGGTTCAGGCAGTTGCGACGCGCCAGTTGGTTGAAAGAAACACAGGCCGAGCAACAAGGACATTTCCACGGCCTACCGGGCCTTTCCAAAGAATGCAGGCCCTGGCCGTGATTCGCAGCCTCATACAGAGACAGTTGGGCGCCCAACCGAACGAGGCCCAGCAGCCCAGTAGCTGCTGCATCCAGGCAGCCTCCTGGGGCCTTYCRGAAGCTTCTGGGCCCAGGCCRAGGCAGCCAGGCTGCRTGAGCAGGCCAACTCTTTCCRTAAAGGAAAGAGCTCGGCYCTGGCTGCCTCATKCARGCACTCGCATGCTGGGCGGCARCGCTGCTSGAGCTCATGCKCGTAGGCTGCTGCTAGYGYTGAGAGGCGAGGTGCAGCACRTGCGRTCGTGCAGAGGAGGAGGGCGCTGCTGAGGGCAGCRCCATAGCCCAGCCACCATAGCTGGTGGGCKTGGACTACAGTGAAGCGCAGGGGTGGTCTTCGGGTGAMWGAGAGGACAGGTGTGGGTGAAGTCAGGGGATAGGTGAAGGATGATGATGATGATGATGTGAGGGCACGTACCTTGTATTGGCGATGTTCTGCATGGGCGGCATCTTCAAGTACTTCGGGCTGCTRCTGATGTCAACAGTTGCATTGTCTTTTTGTAGTCTGTAGTAGCTGTGTAGGAGTAGGCTGGGCGCTGAGCGCCAAGTGCGAGTGTAAGGGAACTGGACTCTTGTGTTGAAAGGAGAGAGTGTACTCTCCACGGACATTGGTTTTCAGTGCTACGAAACTCCATTGGTGTATTATTGGTGCAATGCTGCTATCTGGACACAGTGTGACTATTTGGCTTGCAATGTGATGGTGTGATCTGGGATTGTCATCTCGCTGTTGCTTATTTTCCTTGCAATGTGATGGTGTGATCTGGGATTGTCATCTCGCTGTTGCTTATTTTCCTTGCAATTTGGTATCGGAGCTGGTTCATATCGCTTCATTGGTTCTTTGCAATAGCTATTGGTGCTTCGCATGAGGTGTGGGGCAGTGATACGGCATTGGCGTTCAACATTAGGCGGCCCAGGGTTGTGTGGGCGCGCCGGGGAGCTATGTGGTGCCATACGGGATGTATGCTGGATGATGAGAACTCGCTGATGTGACATATTAAGCTGAGGTGGAACCACATTCTGCTGTTGGTTGTGCCGAAGCAAAGACCGGTCATCATAATTGCACATCAGGTTACCGGTGAGAAATCTGTGGTTGGGGGCAGCATTTATGAGGTATGTTGCTCTCTTCCTTATCTACCCTCTTCATCTCTTCTTACCGTGAGGAAGTGAGTTCTGTCTTGAGAGTCCTCTCGATGTGAGGTGTCGCGAGCGCTCAACCTTGAGAGTCGACATTCTTCCTGAGCAGCAAGCTGGTGGGAGACGGGCGAAGCCTCTGAAGGGCCCTGGACAAAGCACTCGGGTCACGGTCACCATGCCAACCCGCTGGGACTAGCACACACATGCTTGGGCGCAAGTCCTTGGTTCTGCTGCTTGCGCAATAGAGGTCTACCTGGGCATGCCAGCCTTTTATGAGACGCTTACCAGACCGTCTATAAATATTTATGGTTGGGGACTCGGATTGAATCTGGCTGTGATCATCGTCCTGACTGCGACGTTAAATAATTCCTGCAGAGATGGGGGCGCTCTTAATAATCCTCCTGATCAGCCAGATCAACCGGGTGTAAGGCTCATTCCGTACGAGGGTAAATAAGAGTGGACTGGCTGGCATGTTCGGCAAAGACTTGGGGCACAGGGGTGGGCCGGATTGCACACCTTCAGACACGCTGCTCAAACCAGATGCTCAGGGACGTTGACACAAAGTGACTACTCAAGAAGGATACAGGGGGAGGGGGGATTTCGGTAACTGTTCGCAGTGGCAATCAACAGACAATCTGCCATTGAGCATACATCTCCAACAGGAGATGTTATTTTTATTTTGATTATCTAGTTGTGACAGACTTCGCTAACAACTAACAGACGGCTACAGATAGATTAGATCTTTGCTGTAGTGCAATCTGTTTCAGGGTAATCCAAAAATAGAATTAATATATCTTGTAGGACCTGACATTAGTTGCAACTACATCACCTAACTATGTCTGTTCCAAGCCGACCGTAAGTAGTTGTGTATCATATGCGGATGTGTGTCAAGCTAAGGTAGGATTCAATGTGGATTCTAGTTTAGATCACACACACTGTAGCTCATGAGTGATGTGAAGCACAAGTGAGGAGGAGTTACTAGTGGACGACCGTAGGACTACTCGCGGGACTGCCCGCAGTCGACCCTTGACATTCTTGGAGTTAGGTCCAGGAGACGAGAGAAGATTGAGGAGAGAGGCTAGAGAGAAGACAGCGGCAAGGAGAGCGAGGGCAGCTGAGGACAGTGCTAGGGCTAGAGTTTCAGCTAGCATCACTGCAGCCATGGCTACCTCATCTATGACGCAACCCTCTACACAGCCCGCTTCGTCAGGAGTCAGTCAGAGTGGTACTCAGGGAGTCACTAGTCAGATTGCTCATGTGCGAGTCAGTCAGTCTCCACTCACACCGGAGGACTTAGAAATCCGGCAGGCAGAAGAACTTCAGGATGAGTTACAGCGGCAGATGGACGATGTGGTAGAGAGGAGAAGGAAAGCTATGCAAAGAAAGGCAAGACTAGAGAGTAGAGCGCAGGAGCTAGGCAGACTGGAAAGACTAGATGAGTCAACATTAGACCCTGCTGTCCGTGCGCTGCGAGGCGCCTTACTTTCAGTGGCGGAAGCACAAAACGTTCAATAGGAATTGTTGTCTGATTTGGTAGCAGGCCAGAAACAAATTCTGGCTGAACTTCGGGGCCCTCGCACTATGGTGAGGCCGCCACAGTTTGCGGTAGTTCCCCCTGCAGCTGCGGGTCCATCATCGATGCCGCAACGCACCGGGCAAACTTTCTCTCCCATGTTTGGCATGCCCTCCCTGGGTTTATTCAGTCTCAGTCGTACCATCTACAACAGTGGTCACTGCAGTCCCACTGTCCAGCCAGGCTCAAGTTAGTATGCAACAGCCTGTTTCAGTGGCTATGCAGCCGCTGCAGCAAGCACCTGGGCCCATGCAAGCTATGTAGTGGATGCCCAAGATAGCTTTGATGAGTCCCAAGCCCTTCTCTGGTGATAAGAAGAAGGAGGAAGACTTGGACACTCGGGTGAGAACTGTGCCTACTTATGTGAGGCATAAGCTCACAAGGCCAGAGCAAGAAGTTGTAGTGGCTGCCTCCTCTTTAGATGGGTCAACAGCCCGCTGGTTAAATGGCTTAGTGCAGCAACAGGGCTACGGTCAAAACTTCGATGCCTGGGCACAATCTCAGACATTGGAAGAGTTCATACGGTCCGTATACAACAGGTGGCATGACCCACAAGGGGCTCAGAAGGCCACTGACGCTATCAACAGTCTTTGTTCCCGAAGGTTCAAGAATGTTAGAGAGCTGACGGACGCCGTAGAACGATTAATCGTGGTACCTGGTGTGCGTTTTGACCAGCAGGTTCTCCTAACGGATTACCTAAGGTGCCTACCGTCAGAGGTAAGGACCAAGCTAGTTGACGAAGCCTATGTTGAACAGCACACCTTCGCTTCTTTTAGTAAGAAAGCTCTGGACATCGAGGCAAAGCTAGGATCTGCACATCAGGCCCCCAACGATGGTAGGAAGAGACTGCCCCAAGATTGGAAGAAAAAGGGTCAGTTAATGTTCGTTGACCACGATGGCCAAACGACGGAGATTGACGACTACTCAGATCTTGGGGAGTTGACAGAGCACGATGGGGGTAGTGAGACTTCAGATGGTGGAGTCGTGGCACCCATCAAGGAAAAGGCTAGGGGGACCGGGAAGAAGAAGGTAGGACGGTCCACGGGTCAGGGCGACCAAGGAACACCCGCATGGGTGAAGATTGGTTTAGAGTATGAGGTGTGGCGTGACCGCGTTGCTAGGGGTACATGCATGAACTGTGGCAACTATGGCCACACGTCCAGGACTTGCCGCGGCAAGAAGATCACCACGAAGGTAGCCTCGCCAACGGTGGTGGGTTTATCTTCGAACCCTGGGAGTGCTTCTGCGAGCAGCTCACAGGGAAACACCTTGGGCCAGTACGAGTGTTAGCCGCTCTTACTCGCGCTGAAGTGGTAACGTTGCCTTCCCCATTTCAGGCGTTGGCCAAGGCTAGTGACCCACGTACCGCCCCGCAGACACATTCAGACCCACCGACGCTCTGTTCGAAAGATGTGTCTGAGGCCCTAGAAGAGTTAGAGACTGAGTGGTCAGGGAAGGACCCCGGGGACTCTTGGGTGATGATCAGTAGAGGTCCAAAGGGTGAACATTTCATGGTAGAAGTAGATGTAGGTGGCCGCAAGGTTGGCGCCTTCGCAGACATAGGCTCTACACGAAATTTCATCAGTCGTGCTTGTGTGGATAGACTGCGCTTAGGGGACCAAGTGCAGCGGCTTAGCAGAACTGTAGCTTCTACGCTAGCCAACAAGCACCAAATGGTTGTAAAGGACTATGTCAAGGACGTAGCCTGTTCCTTCTCCTATGGAGATCCTATGGAGGAGGGGAAGTGATCCACAAGATCTCTTTCCTGGTAAGCGACGAACTGCCATTCGATATGATACTAGGCATGTACTACCTCGAAGACTCGCAACCTCAGTTTGACTGGGATAGAAAGGTGTTGATCCACAAATTGCCCAATGGTAGAACAGTTAGATTGCAAAAGTTCAAAGCTAGCAGTCTAATAGAAAACTACGGGTGTATGTGCGCCTCATCCTTCTATAACTATTATAAGCAGAATCAAGAGGAGGGCATGTATCTAGTCTTTGTCTCTGAGAAAGGGGAGGCCGTTAAAACACCCCCAAAGATAGAAAGAGTCGTCGCACAATATTCAGACCTTTTTGAGGAGCCCACAGGTGTGGTGGAAAGGGAGGTTGTACATGCGATAGAGATTGTCCCACGTAGTAAGGTGCCTAGAGGACGAATCTATAGGATGTCTCCCCTGAAGTTAGACGAACTTCGCCGCCAGCTCAAGGAGCTCACAGAGAAGGGATGGATACGACCTAGTACCTCCCTTTACGGTGCGCCAGTCTCATTTGTTCCTAAGAAGGGAGGTCCATTAAGGATGTGCATTGACTATAGGGGCCTCAATGCCATCACCGTTAAGAACGCGGAGCCCCTACCCCGCATTGACGACCTCTTGGATAGAGTGCAGGGATGTCGGTACTTCACAAAGATAGATCTGAAGTCTGGATACCATAAAATTGCCGTTAGGCCTGAGGACCAACACAAAACCGCATTTCAGACCAGGTACGGTCTGTACGAGTTTGTGGTGATGCCTTTTGGCCTATGCAATGCGCCTGGTACGTTCCAGCACGAGATGAATAGGATCTTTCATGACTACTTGGACAAGTTTATCGTCGTGTACCTCGACGATGTTCTCATCTTTAGTAGTAGAGGAGCACGCTGAACACTTGCAAACAGTGCTAGGCCTCCTAAGACAGCACCAGTACACGGTAAACTTGGATAAATGCGAGTTTGGTCGCACCAAGATCTTGTACTTGGGTCATGAAATTTCAGCAGATGGATTGAGGCCGGAAGATGCGAAGGTGGCCAGCATACGTGACTGGCCCAGACCTCAAACTGTTACGGAGGTCGGATCGTTTTTGGGGATGACGGGCTATTATCGTCCGTTTGTGAAGAACTATAGTACTATAGCTTCCCCATTAACAGATCTAACTCGACTTGACACCCCTTGGGAGTGGACTGAGGAGTGTGAAGCAAGCTTCAAGAAATTGGAGTATGACCTGACACACTATGAAGTTCTCAAACTTCCTGATCCTTACAAGCCATTTGTTGTGACCACAGACGCTAGCCAATATGGCATAGGCGCGGTCCTTGCGCAACAGGAAGGGCCCAAGTTGAGGCCGATCGAGTACATGAGCAAGAAGATGCCATCTTAGAAGCTGGCCAAGTCCACTTATGAGAGGGAGCTCTACGCCCTGTACAGAGCGCTAGTTCATTGGAGACACTACCTCCGAGGAAGGTTCTTCTATGTGAGGTCGGACCATGAAACTTTGCGCTGGATTAAGACACAGCCAGTCTTGTCAGACGCACTCAAGAGATGGATTCAAGTGATAGACATGTATGACTATCAACTTGATCCTATCAAGGGTACGTACAACAAAGTGGCTGATGCGCTATCAAGAAGGGCAGATTATCTGGGCGCGCTAGTAACTGAGTTTGGCATATCTAATGACCTCACTCGATCGATGGTGGAAGCCTATCAGGGAGACCCAGTCATGTCAGAGATCATTCGTAGATTCAAGGCAAAGGATAAAAAAAACTTTGGACGAATTTACGATGGTAGACGACTTGCTGTTCCTCGATAAGGCAGRGAATAAAAGACTRTGTGTTGCTAATAGCGAGTCTTTGCGTAGTTTAYTTTTAGGAGAGTGTCACGATGCAACGGGTCATTTTGGCTACAAGAAGACARCAGCAAACTTAGTTCAGAGATTCTGGTGGCCCTCTATGATGGAAGATGCAAAACGATATGTTGAAACCTGCCAGGTTTGCCAAAGGGACAAACYAAGGAYTCAGGCGCCGCTTGGGMTCCTCAARCCCTTGCCRATTCCTRAAGGTCCTGGTCAAAGTGTATCCATGGACTTCATGGATACTCTCGTGACCAGTAAGTCTGGAAAGAGACACATCTTCGTAATAGTGGACCRCTTTACTAAGTATGCAAGACTAATCGCTATGCCAGAAACARCTAAAACTGACCACGTCATCAAACTGTTTATGGACAATTGGGWACGTGACTTCGGMTTACCTACATMTATCSTTAGTGATAGRRATGTCMRGTTCACAAGTGAACTGTGGCAGTCAACTGCTGAGCAAAWGGGCACAAAGCTCCAAATGACGTYAGGGAATCACCCTGAGTCAAATGGCCAGGCAGAACAGATGAACCGGGTAGKGCAGCACCTGCTTAGGCATTATATTAAGCCAAGTCAGGATGACTGGGACGAGAAGTTACCTCTCGTCGCCARCYTRTACAACAATGTTGTGCATAGCACCACCGGTAYGACTCCCAACCAGTTACAWCTTGGTTGGAAGCCCAGATCTGCGCTTGACTTTCTGTTACCAGAAAGACAACCTACTGCAGCACCTRGCAGCATAGAGTTTGCKGTCAAATATGAGCARATGCTGCAGCAGGCCGTTGAACATATTCAGAAATCTCAAGATGCTMTGATTGCATCTGAGAACAAACATAGACGRTCTTCTAACTTTCAGGTAGGTGAGAGAGTCTGGGTGAAATCATYTGAACTGGGACAGGAAATAGGGATCTCAAGAAAACYGATGCCTCAGTACTTTGGGCCCTGGGAGATCTTAGATATTGTAGGGGATCAACCGGATGGGCCTTCGTACGTGATTCGCATCCCGRCACACTTACGGACTCATCCTGTTTTCCATGCCWCCAAGMTGGCACCTTTTGCTGCCACAGAYCTGTTTCCCTCTCRGAGATCTATGCTGCCCCCAACCATGGATGGCGAAGTGGACATTGACCAGATCRTCGAGCATCGSATGATGCCTGTTCCTCGACCATCAGGCAGAGGGCGACCTCCTAAACCAAGAATGCAGTATCGGGTGAGCTTCAGACATCACCTCGATCCCAAGGAAGATCGCTGGTTCACACGAGAAGAACTCATGAGAACAGCACCTCAAGTGATTGCAGGCTATGAAAGAGAACGGAAAGGAAAGATGCCTGCAGAATAAGAAGACTTCTTAGAGGACTCACGAAGTTGAGGAGGAGGGAATGCGAGGATCAGGGTCCTCGGTAGGCCTACGGGGCCCTATCTGCAGCCTTGCCCGCCCTAAGTGAAGGCGGGCCTGGCTTTTTGCAAAAGGCCTTCGACTGTCAATTTCATATTTGGGGTTCAGGCAGTTGCGACGCGCCAGTTGGTTGAAAGAAACACAGGCCGAGCAAMAAGGACATTTCCACGGCCTACCGGGCCTTTCCAAAGAATGCAGGCCCTGGCCGTGATTCGCAGCCTCATACAGAGACAGTTGGGCGCCCAACCGAACGAGGCCCAGCAGCCCAGTAGCTGCTGCATCCAGGCAGCCTCCTGGGGCCTTYCRGAAGCTTCTGGGCCCAGGCCRAGGCAGCCAGGCTGCRTGAGCAGGCCAACTCTTTCCRTAAAGGAAAGAGCTCGGCYCTGGCTGCCTCATKCARGCACTCGCATGCTGGGCGGCARCGCTGCTSGAGCTCATGCKCGTAGGCTGCTGCTAGYGYTGAGAGGCGAGGTGCAGCACRTGCGRTCGTGCAGAGGAGGAGGGCGCTGCTGAGGGCAGCRCCATAGCCCAGCCACCATAGCTGGTGGGCKTGGACTACAGTGAAGCGCAGGGGTGGTCTTCGGGTGAMWGAGAGGACAGGTGTGGGTGAAGTCAGGGGATAGGTGAAGGATGATGATGATGATGATGTGAGGGCACGTACCTTGTATTGGCGATGTTCTGCATGGGCGGCATCTTCAAGTACTTCGGGCTGCTRCTGATGTCAACAGTTGCATTGTCTTTTTGTAGTCTGTAGTAGCTGTGTAGGAGTAGGCTGGGCGCTGAGCGCCAAGTGCGAGTGTAAGGGAACTGGACTCTTGTGTTGAAAGGAGAGAGTGTACTCTCCACGGACATTGGTTTTCAGTGCTACGAAACTCCATTGGTGTATTATTGGTGCAATGCTGCTATTTGGACACGGTGTGACTATTTGGCTTGCAATGTGATGGTGTGATCTGGGATTGTCATCTTGCTGTTGCTTATTTTCCTTGCACACGGGGTTCCACGTAAGGGATTTTTCGGGACCAAGTCGGGGGTGGTATTTTGTTCGTTTTTGCGGCAATGCTACAAATCCGAAGCGAAGGAAAGTATTATAAAAAAAGAACAAAGATTTCCCTGATATTAATATTTTCCCGTTTGAGTCCGAATTATGTTTCCGTTCCGAGCCACCCTGATTTATGTTGCTCCATTGACCCATGCAAGGAATATGAGCGAGAGCAATAGACCGAAAACCAAGTTGCAAAAGCACGCAGAAGTCCAGATAGTCATGTACAAGCAGAGAGCTCAAATGCACCAACATTCGATCCAAATAAGAGCAATACAATGAACTCGTGAGCCAATGTTCAAGCCCTCAGGCCACACCAACGCAGTATTCAAAGTCGCTCCTCTCTGTCTGGCGCCCAGCGCCCAGCCTACCCTGGTTGCCTACCTAGCCTATCTACGTTCATACAACAGGCTCACTTCAACTTCGAAGACCAATGTACATGTCGTCAACACCAATGCCGACCTCCCACATACACCGGGTACATATCCTCGTCTCCCCTCATCACCCCCTGTCACCCACTTCTGCGGCTCCTCCCGAAGACCCCCTGTCGCCCTCCTCTGCCTCGCGCCCTGCAGCCCGGCTATGGCCGCTAGCGCCCCGCTGACCCTGTGCGGCCCAGCCCAAGCTAACGCATGCAGACACTCGCTTGTTAGCTCAGCAGCGTGTCCGCAATCCCCGCATTGGCCAGAATGCCCAGCTCTGGCCAGCATCCTCCCTATATGGGAGAGGTTGCTGCTGCTGGACTGTGTGGGCCTGGCCGTGGAAGTTTCCAGTAGCTTCCGGTGTGGCCCAGATGTTTGCGCCCAGGCCAACTCTGACAGTTACCTGGGCCCTTTTTAGTTGGGTGCGCCATAACTTTCCAGGCTTTGAGTTGTTTGATGCATTTGCACTGGCCCACGGGATAGATACGACGGCAATGCTGCTTTCTTGTTGGCCCATGGCCACTTTGTGATGTGTCAGCCTCTCAATGAGTGTGCCCGGGGCACAGCCACCCGGGCACTGGGCTCAACTGCCTGGTGCAGTTGCCTCTTCTGGAGAAGCCCAGGGTAAGGCCCAGGTTGCTCTTCAACCAACTCTCGTGCAGCAACTGTTACGAACTCAGCCAGGGCTCGATCCCTGGTCCGCGGGTTACCACCCGCCAGGCTGCTATTTTATTTTCGAGTCTCTGATCTCCGGTTCCTAACTGTTGGCGCCCTCTGCAGTTGGCGCCCGTTCTCAAATCCCTCCTCTGGCACTTTCAGATTCCGATGCTTGGCGCCATCCGACATTTTGGCGCCCAGGCTCAGACCTTCGATTTTCAGTTCAGCCCCGATGCAAATTTCACTTCTGCCCTCAGGACTCAACTTGAGTCCGGTTAAGACCGGACTCAAGCTGAGTTCGGGCATTCAGTTTTCGGCCTCAGTGCTTGTGCTTCAGTGTGACTTGCTGCGACATTGTGTTCAGAATCCAAGATTGTGACTTTGCGACTTTGCCACTGTGTGTCTGCGTCTGTCGAGTCGTGCCGAGTCTGCGTCGAGTTGAGTGAGCGTGTGCGTGCTCTCACTCTCCCTCTCTCTCCCAGCCTCTCTGCTCTGCCTCAGCCCCGTCACAGCAACTGTCCGAAACCTGCATTGGAAAATGCTGAGATAAGGGCCTTTCGTGGATATTCAGGCCCGCCTTCACTTAGGGCGGGCACG